ACTAGTTATTGGCATTTCAAATGCTTTATATTAAGATAACTATCTTTGAAACCTATTTATTTCCATTTTAAATATTTAATCACAATAATTATAGCTCTATCATTTATTTTGCAATGAACAAATTCACATCAGAAACAGACTTCTTTTAGCAATGGGAAATTACTTAATTGTTTTTAAAGTACTTGGTGACAAATAACATTCATTGTTCATTCCAAACAGCACACTGTTAGTCATTATCTGGAAAACGGATGTTCTCCAAAATATTTCAGTACCAATTAACACCCGAATTAAACTATTTCTTCAAGGCAATAAACATTTCACGGAAACACATTTAATCCATTAGGTCTCATTAATGGTATTTTATATTAAGAACTATTTATCTACATACTATAGCTAGGTAAGCTCTTCTGGTTATTTTTCTTTTTTACCTCACTCTCACATACGCAGTCTTTAACTCATTTGTTTTCTCTACATTAAGATAAAAAATTAGCATTCAAGAAAATAAAAGAGATCAGCCCTCACAGCATCTGGCAGCATTATAATTAAAGTTCTGTCGACAGAACTGTTATAAAGCCTGGTTTGAAAAGGATTAAAAATTAAGCCTCTAGTGAAGTTAGAAGTTTCATGTAAGAATTGCAAGTTAGCAAAATGCCAGTAAAAGCCCAGAGGCTATATTTTAGTGATTTTTTTCAATATGTCATTTTTTAAGGTTTTGAGTTAAATATTGTCTAATAATACCCTATGGATAATTTATTTTTCTAGGTCTATCGATAGTCCACTTTTATTTGGAGTGCCTGCTAGATGGTGCCATAGTGCCACACTAGACTATAAACCCTATAAGAGTAGCAACCTGCTGAGGCTGGGAATAGAGAAGTGTCCAAAGTGTTTCTATTAAATACAGGAATTAGGAAATGACCTCTGTGACATTTGGACAGGTTAGCAAATTTGTCTAACATTCTTCACGCCATTAGTTTAATTTTTTCTAAAAATTAACAATAACCAAATTACTAGAAAGAGAAAGTAAAACTTGGACAGTCTCATTCTTCCTCTTTGCCTAACATGATACTCTTACTTGTGAAGTGTAATCACCAATGTATGTAAATAATATAGCCAGGAGACCAAAG